GAGCCCTGCCTTACAAATTAATGTGTGTTCTCCTGACTTGCTGCAAACAGTAAATCTCTCCACCTCTCTATCTACTGGCTGGCTGTGTTTACTGGCCTTGCATTCACCAAGACGCAAACTCATTGCATTTGAGTACAGAGAAGCATATACCCTTTAGAGATTGACTTTTCAACTCAATCCAAAGCCCATAAAAATCCACCTAAATGGCAGCATCTACCAATACATGATTCCTTTTGGTTCACAAGTGGTGTTGCCTGGGTGGCCATACAATTTATTTGACTATTCACTCATGAAAGGTACGTGTGCTGTTTGGTTTGTGGCTGGTATAAATAAAGCATCCTCATACAGGTTTTTGTATATGTGCCACTTTTTATTTCTCAAGGATAAATGCAAGGAAACAAATCCTAGGTCACAGGTACACACACGTGTAACTTTTTATAAAACTGCCAAACTATTTTCCAAAATAGTGAACCCTGTATATTTTACATTTCCATTAAAAGCAGTAGAGAGACTACAAACTTGTCACAACTTCTAAAATATTTTCTGTAAGCCTGAAAATGCAGATTAAGTTCCTTAAATACTGTAACTTATAATTATACATAATCTATATGTCAAAAACTGCTGGCATAGAGTTAAGTATAAAAAGACATACTGAGAGTTTGTCTTCTTCCAGACCGTCTTTAGAAACTATCATTTAGTATTGTGAAATGTGATCACAATACCTCAGTATAAGCATCATCAAAACACATTTGTCTACCTGGTACCGGATAAAACTATTTGAGAGAAACAACCTAAATTAAAGCTGTAGTCATCTTGGTATAAGATTTATAACATCACGGGTTTGTTGTTGTTAGAACTGACAGTTATATAATACAGTCTGTTTTGGGTACTAAAGCAAGGAGCTAAGTCTAGAGCAGAGGTATCTGTTCATACACAAGTAGCAACTAGACCGCCCATCCACAAAGAGAAAATTAATGCGCAGAAAGAAATCAGAAGGCCCCAAAATGAACGGTGGGGCACACCTGCAATCCCAGGCTGGGGCGCTGAGGCAGGAAGATCACCAAGTTCAAGGCCAGTGTAGACTACCTAGCAAATTGAAAATCAGTGTAAACTACAAAGCAAGACCCACTTTTTAAAAAAGAAAAAAGGAAAAATTACGTATCTCCTTCCAGTATAAATATATTTACTTTAAAAGTATAACAAAATTTTCAAATGTCAAGCTTAATTACTCTGCAACTTAATTAAACGATTTCCATCAAAGGTGTCTCTCACTTACTGTAGAAGGCAACTGAAAAATATGTTAGTATAGCAATACATTTTATTTTTATATTCATGCTAAATACCTGCCAGTGTATAAAAGTGTCTATCTTAGCTTTTAAATTTTGGAGGCCTGGTACCCATCCTTTGGGCCAGAAATCCAAGAAGAACCGTGAGTTTCTGCAAACACCCACCAAAATCCAGACAGTCACATCCCACCTAATGATACATCTGTGAGCAACTGTCACATGCCAGCTAACAGCGGACCGCACAGAAGACTGCACAGACAAAGTGGAGCGATACGATTTTACTACCTAGTGACGAGGTAGCAGTCGGGGAGGCACATGCTATGATGCTCACACACTGCCTAACAACTTATCTCTCATTTCTCTGAGCATGCCTATAAATGACGCACAACTATTACCTGAATACTAAATAAAACTATTTGCAACAAATTTTTCCTAGTTAACAAAGACACAGTAGCTAATAAAATTTTTAATAAACTTCCTGAAGAACATTAGTAAAGGGGCTGGAGAGATGGCTCAGTGGTCTAAAGCACCTATTTGGAACAAGCTTGGAAAAGCCCAGGGACCGCGGTTCAATCCCCCAGCACCACATGCCAGCCAGCCGCGCCCCCTGGTGGGCTGAGCTGGCCACACACACACACACACACACACACACAATAAATAAATGTTAAAAAAAATTTAAAAAAAAAAAGAACATTAGTAAAGGTTTTTTGTCATGAATATTTAATACTGAACATTAAAATGTAACACCTAATACGGAGGGCGCACAGCTCATACCTCTCTAGACTCTTGGGAGCTTTTCTACCATGACTGTCACATACAGCAAGGAAACGCAGGAGTCCAAGTGCAAAGATTTAAGACAACACTGGGAGAAACAAAGCAAGAGTCATTGGCAAGATGCATGCAATGACTTCAGAACAGCACCCTCACAATGCGGGATGCCTAAATATCATTCGAGAGCCACGAGAATAGGGCCAGCGAGATAGATCAGCGGGCAAAGCTGACTGCTTAGGCAAGCTCAGGCCAAGCACAGGGACCGCAGTATGATTCCATGACAGGGCCAGCTCGCCACCAAAAAAAATAAAAAAGCCAAGGTTCCGCTCCTAGCTTTAAGGGGGAACACACTCCCATGGCCTTGGGCAAAAGGGCCAAACATACCCTAGAGTACAAATACATCTGTTACACTACCTGGCTAGATGCCTTGTTGGGATTCTATCATCTTTCTCTATGTTGCAGCCTTGTTAACATTTTTGTGTTTCCTACATTTCATCAATAGCGCAGTTCTGCAAGTATGACTTACACTTTGACAGAGTTCTTGTGCTCTGGGTGCTAGATAACTAAAACCAAGAAGAATATTCCCTATCAAGATAAAGCAAAGAAAATTTGCGTCAACAAAGCAATATGATAGCAAGAATAGACTTGGCACCAACACAATTCCTGGCCAACATGTACATGATTTCTGGTGAATAAAGGAGTCCATTTCTTCTCACTCTGAAAAATAACCTTGGCAAGTAAAACATCCTACCAGCCTGAAAAACGTTCTCCAGTTCTATTCAGTTACCAACCCATTCTCGAACCCACCAAGACAATTTTCAGGAAAGCCTCACTCACTCAGAGAGGCAGCATTTAACCCCCATTAGGATCCCTGCCTGATTTGTGGAGACAGGAGCATTTGCACATTTCCCTAAATTCAGCAACCATTCTTCATTTGACGTAAGGTAAATAAATATCTCAAGGCTGTTTATTTTTCAAATCGAACAGTTTTAAACTTATTTCCAAATGAAAACCCTATTCATAGTATATCTTATTAGAGATGCCTTTATGAAAACATACAGTTTTCAAAATAAAAATCTTTTTTCTTTTCTAGGCATCTGAGATATTCACTCATTATTATTCCACATTAGTGCTCAAACTTTTTTTAAAAAAAGCTGGCCTGTTTCCTTCAAAAAATTTAATTTTAGGGTCTGTCAACATTTTGAATGCATTACTGTTATTTTTAAAATACACAACGCATACTGGAATAAAACTTCGCACAAGTGTTCCACACACCCTTTCCTGGGCACTTGCTGACTTGCTACATGCCAGGCTCCATGCTTAACACGTTATTCTATTACCTCGTTTGTTTTAACAAATATCCTCCCAGAATTTTTACAGCACTGCGCCTAACAGGAAGCCGTTGCACTTTCAACTGCTATTTGAACTGGATACTAGTATTGTACTAAGATGGCAGTAATGCCTAAAACAAGTTTACTGTTACTAAATTCAACTGTGTTACTATCCTCACGCAGAATCTGATCCCCAATATTGATAACAATGCAGCGAATAGCATCTGTGCTGGCATCAACAGAAAACGCGATTAAGTGACTAGAACAGTTAAGTTACATTTCTTTCTATAGACAAACTGATAAACATGATCTTACCTACCCGGAAATGTAACTCCAATGACTCTGCCATTTTGGGCCACACAAACAACCCGCATAAAAGGCCCAGATAAACAACCCTTGCTTCCATGTCAAACTGCTGTCGCAGTATACACGAACCTCTTCCCCAAAGCATTATGCCTAGCCTGTCATAAAAAGTCAGGTGTCTTCATTATGAACTCTTACAAATAAATGCTGCCCTATATCTTTTTTTCTTTTTAATTTTATTTGTGCGTGTGTGTGTGTGTGTGTGTGGCCAGCTCAGCCCACCAGGGGGCGGGGCTGGCTGGCACGTGGTGCTGGGGGATTGAACCGCAGGCCCTGTGCTTTGCTAAGCTTGTTCTAAGTAGGTGCTTTAGACCACTGAGCCATCTCTCCAGCCCTCTTTTTTTCTTTTTACGCTAATGAATTTAACTCAACCCATGGGGAAGCCCAGCAATAAACAGCTATGTAAACATAACTAAGGAGGTTCTTCAACAGTTCCCTAAATTTAACCACCACCCTCCCAATAACAAAACTGGTATCTCCAAATTGTTCCGAGAAAGGGAGATGGGAGGCAAAGAACGAAACTATACAAAGAAAAACAGAAATGGAGACTCTGAAAGAAAAGACGTCAGCTTTTGCGTCTCCGCTCGGTGACTCTGGGGCCACTTGTCCTAACCAAACCACCTAAGAATTGCAAGGCTGGAACTGAAAGTATTTTGGCAGCAGGAAAAACGGTGTGCTGCGCAGGAACGCTGCGGCCTCAGGAAAGGGTGCCAGCGGCCGGCCCGAGGGAAAGACGAGAGGAAGCGTCAGCAGGGCCCCGACGCCGCTCCTGGCGCCCGCGCGCGTCCAGCCCGCGCGGCCTCGCGGGCCCGGGCCAGGACTGCCGCCTCGGGGCCGGCCCTTCCCGCCGGGTCTCGTCCGGGCCGCCTCCGCGGGCAGCTCGGCACCGAGCCTCACCCCATCGCTCTGGCCCACTCCGCCTGTCCCGGGAAGCCAGCCTTTCAAAACGCGCCCATGGTGGCCTCTGCGGGTAGCGGGCTGCAAGCTAGGCCCGGCTTTCGGAGGCCGCGGTCCGGCGAGGACAGCAGCGGGAGGGCCGAAGAGGGGCGCCCGCCGTCCGGCAGCCCGGGACCCGCGGCGCCCGAGCGAGGCCAGCTGCGGAGGGCACGGCCGCCCCG